CCCCTGATTTTGAGCATGATCACCACTTGGGGTAGAAGTTATGTAGTTCATGCAATCTTGTGTCATATTAGTTTATTATTAGTGCTGGGTGTGGCTATCGTACAGAGGGAGAATAGGACTTCATAATTTTGTTAGCTCAAAGGATGGGAAAAGTAAAGTTTTTGTCTTAAAGCTAAACCAGAGAAGGTGTGAGAGACAACTGGGTGAAGAAAATGAATAACTGGTGAAGGAGTGAGAGATGAAATAAGAGGACTGAAGAACTTACATCTTCAGTCATTTTTCCACCCTTCTGTGAATATAAGGGTTGTGTTGCTTTTATTGCTTTCTAACAGTGCTGTTGCAGGATTAGCCTTTCAGCTTTGGTCCTGTTTCTTAATTTTCTTTAAATTTGGTCAATTTTCAGCTGTTTCTGACTTTGTCTGTGGAGCACCTAAGGTTTACAATATAGTGGTGTCAGGGCTATCTGTGGCTCAGTAAAGTTTTCAGGAGTGTACTTTGAAATAATCCTTAGTTTCTCACTTTTCTTAATTTGGATTTTAGCCTGCACTTGCTATGAATATCTTTCTGATCTTTTTCAATTTCAATCTCCTTGGCACTGATTCTTTCCACCCTTGCTCCCCCTTTCCTTCTTTCATCATTCATTTGTGTGGTTTTCTCTTTTATATTTTCATTTCCAGTCAGGCATGCATTCTAAAGTTACTTTACCTCTGGAATAAGAAATCTCATTATGCTTATATGGGATATTATCCTGTTTCAATTCACTTCTATATAACTTGTCCTAGACTTGCATGGTGTCTAATATCATGGCATAGGATTATTTCTTGCAGTGTTTAGCTTGTTGGGTGTAAGGCTCATCTAGTCTCAAGCCCTTATTCAATAAAGTACCTGTATTTTTTTATGTCCATCTGCTTCTGCTGTAGCACATCAGAAGCAGACAGCTTTGTGGTAAACAATGATGTAGAACAGTAGCTGGAAAACACTCCTGGATATTCTTTACTGCTTCCTGCACCAGAATTTCAAGCTCTGCTAGGTCCTCAGAAGCATAATGTTAATTTGACGGGCTCAGATTTGGGAGCCTCTGAGGCCTGACAAAATATTTGTTCTTCCATACCTCAGATATGATTTTGTAGGCTAATAATGTTGACCAGTAACATTGAATTAGTTGGGGAAAATGTAGCTTCTGCTCTGATGCTGGTGGGGAAAAAAGGGTTTATTTGTAAGCAGAATGATTCCCGTCGCACGTTGTGCAGCAGAGCTTGCGCAGCCCTCACTGCCTCCCCTGGAGTGTGGAGGGAAGCCTGCCCAGAGCCAGGGTGGGCTGGTGTGGGAGGAAGCCAGTGTGGTTGTTTACAGTGGGAAAGTTGGAAGGATTGGAATTGCAGTTTCCTAATTGGAAACACAAAGCCTATGGGTTTTTCCTGTGGAATTCCATGGACACATGGAATTCCATGCAGCTGTAGTGGGCCCGTGCTGGTGGTGCCAAGGAGCTGTTCGGAACTGAGCCAAAGCTGCAGATGGACACCGGACACACCTTGGGATAACTGCAGGAAAGTCCCTTTTTTCACAGAGGAAAGACAAACCTGGGCCATAGATTGGCACCATGGGGCTGGCTGGAATTGTTTTGGTGTTTGAAGAATTAGTCTGCATTTTTATACGTGTGCCAGGGTGTTCAGCAGGTGGTTTTAAGACTGGAAGTGTGGTTTGCACTACAAGACAGTTGAAGGGGATATTCACCTGGCTGATGCCCATCACTGCACTAGGCTTATTCTTTTAATCACTTGAAAGTCATGAAAAAAGAGAGAGCTAATTACTATATTGGCGAACTTTTCTTTTGTTCTGTTCAGAAACTCGCACTCTACTATGTGATCATGATGTAAAAAATGTATAGGTTACCAAGAGCAAAACCCCTAAAACCTCAGTAAACCAATATTCAAATAAACATGTTTTGTCTAACTGTCCTGACCAGTAATATCTACCACAAAAGCTAAATAATGAGCCCCAGGAATGATGGGGTTTTGTGGTCTGAAAACTCAGGCATTGGGACTAAGGCTGTGGGATAAATTTATATTTGCTTAGAAAATTTGGGTCAGCTGGAGAATTTTCAAGTTCTGAAAACAGTTTCTAAAGTAAAATTTTGACAAGTCCTTTACAGTTCACTAAGCAGAACTTATGTCTGTTGGGATTATATTGACAGAGATAAGCTTCCTTGTATTAAGTTATTTAAAATGCTCAAAACAGGTTTGCTTTAAGATGTCAATAAAGGCTATTTTCCACTTTGCTGGAAGTAGGGGAAAAACAATTTTGTCTTTAGAAGTATAGAATCACAATATACTGAGTTGGAAGTAGTATTTTCCAATCTCTGCAGTGGCTTTCAGGATGTTGTCTCTTGATTCTCTGAAGTTTATAGTTAATATTTGTATCCTAAGAATTCTCAGTCTCTGTGAAAACAAAATTTCAGAAGCACACGTGTAATACTCATGTACATCTAAAGTACAGATCTAAATATTGCTGCATTTATGTTGTACCTAAATGTACACAGCACTCAGGGTGTTACAGGGCTCACATTTCTTGATGGCTGATAGCAAAATACAGAGGAAGAAAGAAAAGAGACCAGCTCAGCAAGGCACTTGAATAAATTGCTAGGTGAAAAGGGTGTGAAATGCTCTCAGGGCTTCAAGGCAATTAGTTTCCTGGCTGAAGTTATACACAGGGTTCATCAGTTTGGAGATAGCCCTAAAGTCGTTACTATTGAAAAGTTTAAGCTTTTAACACAGCAACGTAAGTGTTTACTTCCAATGGTCCCCGTTTTCAGTGTAGTTACCAAATAATGCATGTCTCTGTGAAAGTTATCATAGCAATCTGATATTTTCAGTAGAGTGTCTTTTTGGACTGGCTCTGCTGTATGGATTTGTTCCACTGCTTCCAAATTTAGCAAAATGTTCTTCATATTTCTGTATAAAATGTCAGGTATTAATTTTGAAACCTGAAAGGTTTAGCAGTATTCCAGATTTCCACCTTACGTCACATTTTCACCTTCATTCTGAATATGTAGTCACTACATTTTTGACAATATATTGCATTTTATTTTCCAAGCAGTGTTTTATTGGATTAAGTCAGATAGAAGGAATAGCTTCACATTTATCATGAGTGACTTGCACATTCAGTCAAACACTGTGTGATATTGAGTAGTTTAAATCTCCAGTGTATAAACTGTAAATTAACATCAAAGGCCTCTCTTAACATTCATTATTCTGTTTAAACAGTCATGCAGAATTACTAGTTGTCAGTAATTTTTTCTTGAATACAAATATGTAATTTGTTCTAACGATGCTGTAACTCTCTTGAGCTGTGTGTCATGAAGAGTGTTATAAAATAAGGAAATGGTGTAATGGACAATTGAGACTCTTACTGCCATTTAGCAGAAGCTTCAGGTTTGCTTGCAGCTCATATTGCTAATTTTCCTAAAAGCCAATGATACTTCGGTTGCTGAGCATGATCCCAGATGATAAATACTCTTCCTGCTGGGACCATAGATTCATCTTCTCTGGTAGTCTTAGCATAAAAATCTGACCTGTGAAGATGTGAAGTATGATTTGTCTGTCATAAGGGATGACTTTCTTTACCAAGTAAGTACCCTTTGAGGCATAGGAGTAGAACAGTGTGAAAAGTATTTGTTGCAGACTTTTTTTATAAATTGAGAATTTCAGAACTCTCCATTTATCGTTGTACAAATGATAAATGTCCAGGGAGAAACCTGGACATAGGCACAATAAATAAATCAGGAATTCCCCTGTACAATATGCTGCAGGATACATATCAGAGTAGAATCTAAGAACAAAACTATTGAAGAGCTTGTCATTACCAGTTCATGTCGCAGTTGTGAAAAACAGCTTTGCATCTTCATTATACTACAGCACTTCATTGATTTCCAGTGTAATCTAAGGCCTGGAATCCATGCTTCCTGAGAAATTTAGTAAGCCTGGTGAGATGCCCTCAGTACTTCCAAAGACTGAAACCAGAAGCTGGCTTCTGAAGTCAGGATGGTGTTAGCACCTACCCTAAGAGCTTCTTGCTGTGTTACCACCTCTTCACTCTGCTGCTTCTCTTTGCCTGCCTGCTTCTCCTTTCTCTGTTCTCTGCTGTATCCCAGTACTTGGCCACGAAACCTTCCCTCCTTACCTATTCTCCATCCCTTCTTGCAAGCTGCTGCACATCTTTTCCCAGCCCATGCAGCTAAACAAAGCAAAGCACAGAGCTAGAAATTCAGTAGTTGTTCTAAGAACTTATCATACCTGAATATTATTTGTTTTAAACCACATGGGGATTGAAGATCCTTGATTAGGGTTTAGGACAAAATAAAATGTCAGTTTAAGCTTTTGATCTTTTGAAACGGCACATACAACTCCACTGAGTTCAAATTTATGGTTAAAATTTCTATTCTGGAGTCACATATAACCAGAAATTAATTACACTGGAAAAGAATGACTAAAACTTGATTATATTTATATTTTAGATTTTACTTGTGGTGAAATTAAGACCTATTCATCTTTAGGACTATTAATAGAGACAGTTCGATTTTTATTCTTCCAGATCACAAATTTCTTCTTGCCCATTGTCTTTATATACTAAGAATGATCTTCCTTAGAAACTCCTGATGTTTTGACTTTCTTAGTAGGAACATCATCATGCATGGCTAGTTGAAACTTCTGTGAGGAAAGGCACATGCTCTAACAACAGAAGCCTGGCTCTATCCCTGGTTTGGCACTGCTTAGCTGCTGTGTGCCAAAGCTGGTCTGTACTAATGCTTGATAGTGTATGGCAGCCAGCTGTATGTATGGCTGAGGGGTTGGTTATCCATTGACTATGTTTAGGAAGAACAATGAACACTTTGATACCTCTCTCTAACCACCACAGTCCTCATTTCTAGTGTAACATGGAGTGCCCAGCATTGGTAGACAGACAACTTTATCCTTGGAACATGGAGTCAGAAGATATAACTGTATTGCAGAAATATTTAATTAGAAGCAACTCTTCTTAGAGTAAAAAAAGAGAAGCATTTGAGTTCTTAAATCAAGGTATATGTTTAGAATGATCTTTCAAAACAAGAAAACCTTGCCCCCCCATTTAAGCTTTGCATGTTAGCAATTTGTAAAGACAAATACCTTGTGGAATAACTGCAGATTTTAAGTAGTGGTTGTGCTCATTCAGTGCTGCCAGGAAAGGTGTTTGTTGCTGATTTCATACCACCTCCATGTCTCCTACTATCTGTGTTCAGTTTGTGGCAGCCTAGTGAAACCCTCTGTGGACCATGCTACAAGGTGCATTTAGAAAGCAAATAATTGGCTGGATGGCAGGGAAAGTCTATATTGTGAGCATGAAGGAGCTTTATCTATCAAGACTGAGGCACCGCAAAGCATGTTTTAAGCATTTTCAGATCACATAGTCCTTGGACAAGGAATCTTCTGCTTCTTCCTTATAAATGTAATATCTGCTGAGCAGTTATGTGTGGATCTTGTCAGGACCAGCTGTAGAAAAGAGCTGTCATCATGTGACCATGAATGTTAGGAAGCTATTTCTCTCAACTTCAGCTTACTGAAAACTAAGCGATATTCAAAGGCCTGTGTACATGTGAGGGGCACAGGACAGTCAAGTGCTGAGACAAAACATTACTGTAATGGATTTACAGACAGTGGGCTGGTACTGCCCCATGTCTTTATACTAAAATCTCCTACAGTCATAAAACCTGCATATGGTTGTAGATATATGGATATGATAGGGAACTCCCTTCCTGGGAGAAGGAGGCATTTAGTTGCTGAAATCTAAATTTTCTTTGATTTTTGGGCTTAGTATGTTTTTTTCTGACCTCTTGTTCATATAACAGAATCTTGTTTCTTTGTTTTAGTCTTCTTTCTTGTGATTAACATTACACTGCTCATGCCAGTGAATTCTTCTGGGGTTGAAGCTGGAGTTTGTATCCTCCTAATCCTAGATCTCCTTCCTGAATGTCTTCCTTGCCTGTAACGTGAATGGAGCCAGTGCTGTCCTGTGCTGGCACTGGTATGTGAGCAGATGATTCATAGTTTTCGGTCAACTCATTAGTGATGATATGAACTGTGTCACCATCCTTCAGTGGATCCTGCATTCAAACAAAGAAAAAGATCTGTGGAAGCGAGACTCTTGAGGGAGACTTGTTAAAGCTTAAATGAGCAACAACTCTAATGCAATTTCACTTTTATTTCATCACTTGCTTATTTTCTCAGGTGTTCATTTACCATCTTGTTGATTAAAGCCAGTAGTTGCTTACCATGTTTTGCTCTCAAGCAGTGTTGAGAAACATAACCTACCCTTTAGATGTTTTAGATAATTTCAGTGCTTAAATATTGCTGATGGGTAGCCAATACTTTCAGCATCTGGATGAATTATTTAGAATATATCACTTACATTTTAAGCTCATAGTACTTAGTGGCTATTAATGAAAATGTACCTTGTTGTCTTCTTCACAAGTGAAGAAATTATATAATTCTTAGCATTAAAAGTAGAAAGTTTTAGAAAAGGGACTGTACTGAAGTGTTCAATGTAAAGTGGCAGGTTTTGGCTGACACCTTGAACACAATCAACCAAGCTGGGTACTTACCCCATATGCACTGGGGCTGGTCAGAAGCCTGGCAATTGGGTTGCACCATTCAGGCAACGTTGACGTCAGAGGTGGCCCAGTGTGGGTTAAGAGAGGCTTTAGGTATCTGTGGGGTTTGTTAAAGGATCTTTGCAATAGAGATACTGGTGGAAACATGCCGCTCTATTATACTAAGAATTCAATTTTAAAGCATAAGAAAATAATCTAATTAAATGGAATATAGAAAATACTATCTCTTTATCCCCCACCCCCCCATTACTGCATATTTTCACCTGTCATCAGTCTTGTCTAATGTTTTTCAGTAACAGGAAAAAAACCAACCTAAAAACTCCCCCCAAATCATTTGATGCTTCGAAACCTGTCTTGAAAGGGTGCCAGAATGGCTGAAGGGAATAACATAATGTGCTAGGAGTTGAAATACAGGAAATGTATATCAGATTGTCTCCTGATCAGATTGCATAAGAAATCACACTTGGAGCCAGACATAGCAAGATGTAAACAGGACGATTTAAGATGCTATTCTATCAGCTAATTTTTAAGAATAGTAGTGAACATTTTCTTAAACACATATTTAGCCTTTTAGAAAATCAATGCATTTCTTCAATAGACAAAGCATATTTTATCAAATATTAAATTATTTTATCACTGGAAGTGTATGTAAGTTGTTCTCTGTGATACTTTTCTTCAGCATTCAATGCATTTCTTTTCCACTTCATACATCAACTCTATATAAAATGACATAAGTTAGGAACAGGCTTTATGCTATTTTCTCACACCTGTCTTTCCAGTCTTTTTATCCAGAAGTGTTTTATTGAGATAAAAGGAAAAACCTGCTCATCTTGAGCAATTACATCATCTGTGTATCTGTCAATAACAGCTCTCCCGTGCCTCCTTCAAGCTGACTTATCTTCTCTGCCACTTTTACTAGCAAAGTAATTTTCAGTGTTCTTTGGGAAGCAGATCTGTCAGCCGTTTTTACTGCTAGGCAAAATTTACTTTATTGATTTGTTGTCCTGCTTTCTCTCCCCTGCTCCTTTCTCTTTCTTTCTTGGTTGTGTCATCTTCCCCAATCTTCCTCCCTGCCTCCTTAAACAAGAAAGGAACAAACATAACAGTAGTGATTCAGGTTCTGCAGCAATATTGTGGAAATACTGACGAAAGAACACTGAGTCTTGGGCCTATGCACACCAGTGCCCCATTTATTTCATTGTTGGCTGTTTATGGTATCACTGCTTTACACACAAAGTACAAATTCTTTATAGTGAAGAAGTGTAAAATATGCTTCTGATCTCAGTTAAAAATTGAAAGACTAAATAACTTGCTGTGTCCTATATGTTACAGACATGGAAATTGTTCTATGGTGGTGTTTGCGCACATTTTGTATTTATTTTTAAAAATTAAGCTGCATCTGTCAGAAGATTGGGTGATTTCTTCATCCAAGGTCATATACTGAGTTTGTGTGAAAAATTAATTGAGTCTACTTCAGAAAAGATGGTGAGATCTTAATATAAATTCTTATCAGAACCATGATCAAGGTGAGACTCTCATGAGATCTAATTGTGTATGGAAAGTTCAGATTTGTCTCCTTTTTGTTTGAGTAAAATCAAGCCAAACAATCTTTTCTGATCCATTACCAATTTTATCTGAAACCTCCAAACTGCCAGGCTGTTAAGAGCTATTATTAAAAAGCAAAGTATGAAAGCCATTAATTAGAGTTGCTCTGTTTTCAACACTTCAGAAAAACCTAATTAAAAGGCCAAAAATGGAAATACAAGACTAATTCTAGGTTTTTAATCTTTGGAAATATTTGCTTTGTTATTACAAACAACTTGAATTGTTTGAACTGAGTTGTCAGACTGAGGGTGAAAAATCCAGGCTTGTAAGGGAAGTTGCATTTGATTATACTGAGTTCTGTCTGCTCTGTTCTTTCATTCTCTTCCAGGATAAGTAATTGAAGATGAGTATTGCTCTACCTTTCTTAATCCAGTGATGTCTGAGCTAGGCCTTACTTGTAAGCAGCCTTATGATTTCCTAATGGGCTTTTATCCCATTTTACTCTGTAAAAATGAGTCCTGTTTTTGCCCATGTTTGCACAGAGCCTTGACCACACAGAGTAGTAGGGGCTGTGTGCTGAAGCAGCCAGTCTACCCAAACACCACAGTAATCTTCAGTCCCTTGAGCCACTACTGCTTTTAGCATAAACTTTTGTCTGGTGTGTTTAACTGGCTGGCAGTTATGTATGTGGATTTTCTGAAGTTGAGTGATTACTCCATTTTGCAACAGGTTCTCTAAATCCCCTTCATTTTGCATTTGCTCTGACGCATTCATTGTATGTTGTCTGTGCTTCTGCTCTGAAGCCTCTGGAGATGCATTCTAAAGTGAATGCAATTTTCTTGTGCTTGTTGTGTTGATTCTGTAATAAATTATTTATCTTTGTTCCTTATTTAACTAGTTATCATTCAGCCCACTCAAGGAACTTAAATAGCACTGGCCTATTTTTCATTGTTTTAATAACCTGTGCCATAAATGCTTCCTCTTTATTGTTGACACAGTTGCTTTATAGTATTATAGACATAATCACATCATTTAGAGAAGCATAGAAGAGGAACAAAAATCTATGTGCAGTGCTGGAGTTTCAAAAGCATATCAGATGTGGGTCCTACAGCATTTTAAGGCTGGCAAGAAGCCTTATCACACTCCACCTGCTCTGGTTGCATCTCCAGGGAGATGTAATTTAAATAGTTTAATAGAAAAAGGTAGATGTTGCACTAAGGCTGCTTTAAAAATTGGAAGAAACTAATTGCAAACCTCTTGGCATAACTGGGAAATTACAGTCAGACCAAATTGATGCCTGCCCAACTCAGGGATGTTGAGAAGACAGCAGGGCAGCACTGCTTTGCACTTCAGCCCTCCCTGGGCAGGACAGCCCACCTGCATGTCTGCGCCATGCAACAGCCTGTGTTAAAGAATGTTATTAATATTGGAAAGGTGGCAACTTCTGAGTTGTGAAACTGGATTAAAGTTGCCAGTATAGGCAGGTGGATAGAATTTTAATCCATTTATAATGCAGGGGTGCTACCATGCCCTGCTTTTATAATCAAATACTCATTTTCCCATGGATCTCCTGGCTTCCCCTCTCAGTTCACACATTGTGGAAGATCAGACAGCTACAGGAGCTGAGCTGGGTAGTGCTGCAGACCTCCTGGCCTGGTACAGTGGAAGCTGTGGGACAGATAAACTCAAGGCAAGAACAGAAGTGAAGACATCATGTCTGGTCGCTCTGACAAGAGAAGATGTAATGGGGACTTGATAACTGAAAAGGCTGTTGTGCAAAGGGAACAGAGGCAAAGGGATCCGAGTGGAAACTTTTGTACGGATGTTAGAAAACTGTAAATATTGGTGATTAGTGTAATGAACTGGCTTTGCTTGCGTGGCAGGGTCCGTGTAAAAATCACTGCAACATACCCAGAAATGTTTACCCTGGTTTGCCTCATTGCTGTTTGACCATCCCTTTGCCCACACAGTTTCAGTCTTGCCAGGCACAGTTCTCCCTTTCTGTCTCACTGACACCAGGCTCACTATCTGTTTCCTTGCTCCTGGTTCAGCTTGTCTATTTTGAGTTTGACTGATCTGATGTACTCTTGGCTTGAAGAGCAATGTATTTAAAAATAATCTCACGAGGCTTTATCAGGAACCAAACCATGGAATTGTGATATATTTTTTCCAACATTGTCTGAAAAAAACATCTATTATGGAAACCTTCCTCCTGTATATCTCCTGCTTCACAAAGATGCAAGTAACTTGAAAGAATATTATTAAGTGAGAAGTCTCAGGTAAATCTTAATGGTTACTGCCATTAACCATGTTGCAGAATGTTTAGGTTTTCCATCATACAGAAAAATTGAAGATGTAAAAAAAAAGTTTTGACTTAATATTGGGATGAAAAATCAGAACCTAAAAGTTTCTGTGACCACACACTGTTTAATTTGACATGCTCTGTCAAATTTTGAAGATAGTGGCAAACAGCACTGTCTTTTTGATAAAATAGCATCAGCATGTTCAAATAGGGAAAGATATTCTGTCAGAAATGTTGTGGCTGACTTGAACTTCAGAGTTCACTTCTCTTTTGTTGGAGAAGAATCCTAGTCCAACTGTGGCTCTGCTATGAAAAATATCTTAGTAAGAGAGATATAACTTGCTGGGGGGGGAAAACCCCTCTAAACCTACCACCACAACAAAAAATCTCAAACCCAAGCACCCCAGCCACCCCCTCAACAAAGCAGAAGATGTGGTCCGGGCTGGAAATACACGTGGCAGCCCTGTAAAGCCCTGCATGTGGCCCCAAAGGTGGTTTGCCTTTTGCCTCATCACATAATGGAGGCTCTGTAATTGAAGGCAATCCCATACTCAGAGGAAAATATGCTCACACTATATTTAGCATTAAAAAGCCCCAAACTAGAGGAATCTTGTGATACTAATCAAAATTACATAGAACAATTTTTCAGAGGATGTTTTCTTATATCAGACTGCTATAAGTGCACTTTTGTTACATATGTTGTTTGATATCCTACTGCTAGGTGCTGTATTTCTGCTGCAGGCATGAAGCACTAGAAGTCAATGTCACCACTCCCCAAATCCATCCTTTGTGCAATGTTTTTAAGATTTCTTAAGCTTTGCAGCCTTTTGTTTTAGTGTCCTTTTGTAAATATTTTAGAGTCTCAATTTGTAGATTACTTATGAGTTTTTAATATTACTTTTTGTTGTGTTTATGAAGGAATATAATTAAGAAAGGTATGAAAGTAAAGATGTCACTTCTAGTTTTTCAATCTGTTTTCTGTAATAAGAGCAACTCACATTTTGCTCTTTGTTGGAGTTCAGTTTGTGTGTGTTATTTTTTTGAAGGATGATTTGGTGTAAGTTAGGTGTTAGCCTAAAGAGCGAACAGTTCCATTTTGGTGGTGTTTGGGTGGGAGCAGGCAAACCAAGAAACTTCTCTCTGGCTGGGTTGTGCATGTGGCTGACTCCTGCTAACAGCTGACTGAGATTATTTGGGTGCTGTAGAGCACAGCTTGTGTGCATGACTGATCAGGGAGGCACAGAGACATT